GTCCACGAATTTCTTCAGCTGCACCTCGAACTCCTTCTCCTGCTTGCCCGTCTTTGCACAGGCGGCCACGGTGGTCAGCTCCTTGCTGGTGAACTTCCCAAACCAGTCTTTCTCGCGGATAGCCTGCGTCAGCTTCTCCTCGGCCTCGACGAGCGCCTTCTGCGCATCCGAGTTGTTGAAGTAGGCCCACTCTCCGATCGCCTTCTGGATCTCCGCCTTGATCGAGATGCAGCTCGCAGTGGCCAGGCTGTAGTTGAGCTTGGTCGTCTTCGCCGCGGCCATCTTCATCTGGAGGGGTGTCTGCTCCTTCTTCTGCCTCGTAGCAGGCGGCTCTTCTGGACCAGGTGCAGTCTCGGTGCCACGGGCCTTTCTTTTCGCGCCTGCTTTCGGCGCGCGCGGCTGTGCCTGTCTCGCCAGTGGACTTGCCTCCACCTGCCTCGGCCCCCGCGGCTGCGGCTGCGATGGTCGCCTGCCCAGCTGCGGCTGCGGCGATCGACTGCGCGGCGGCTGCCTCCTTCGACTCGATGGCCGCGATCGCAGCAGCGGCCGCCTTCTGATTTCTCAAATTCTCCTGCTGCCGCATCTCGCCCATCTGAGCCTGGAGCGTGCCCATGGCGTCAGCGAGGTTCGTCTTGTTGCCGCCCTCCTTGAACCACTTCTTCGTGAGGGACCACACCTCCTCCAGGTCCTCCGACACGCCCTCGACGTTGTACAAGAAGAGGATGTCCTTGCGCCACTCGCACCACTTTGCCTGAGGACTCATCCTCCTGCCCCCTCCTCGTCGCCCTCCTCCTCCTCCTCCATCCCTCCTCACCCGAAGCTCCTCCCCGTTAAACGCTCGTCCACCTCCTCCGAGAAAAGTTGCCAGGAAGTGTGTTTGCAAGCCCTGGTGCCCACGGATGGCCCATGGCCAAGCATCGCAAAGCGTAGTTGGCGGCGTTCAGCTTGCCCTGGCGCCCGCCGCCCTCCTCCACGATGATCCTGTTGGCGCACAGGTACCTGCCGTCCGAGTACTCGCGCTTCTTGTAGTTCTTCGTGTGGGTCTTCTCCATGACCCACTCGCAATATTTCTCCTTGAGACACTTGACCCTGAACGCCTCTTGCCGATCTGGTTTCCCTTGGAGGGCCGCGTAGTCCGCCTTGTCCTTCTGCGATTGCTTGCTGCTGCCATTGATATGCCTCTGCCAGCGTCCAGCAGCAGGATTGCCTGCCTTGCCCTTGGTGCCGAACTTGAGCTCAGCGTCGCGCATCTGCTTCCAAAAGGTGCCGTTATTGCAGGTCTCGTCGATCTCGAAGCCCATCGGGTCAGCGCCGCCTTCCTGGGAGTCAAGGTGCGACTTCCGCCCGGGGGAGTGGAAGACGCTCGCGAGCTTCTCCGCGAAAGCCTTCTCATCCTCAAGGTTGGACATGTCGGACGCCTGCGGGGCGGCCAAAGTTGAGGAATCGAAGAGGAGGAGGAGGAGGAGGAGGAGGAGGAGGAGGAGGAGGAGGAGGAGGAGGAGGAAGAGGAGTCATCGGGTCAACGTGCGATGACCAGGTCATCGGGTCAACGCACGGTCAACGCACGTGCGTTGACCAGGCTCTCCGTTGAGCCGATGACCCCTCCTCCGCCATGAGAGGATTCTCATGACGCGGCGATGCCTGGGTGTAGAGGCTCTCCTCGAGCTCGAGCTCTGCTGACAAGGTGTCGGCGAAGGACTGGGCGCTGCTGTTGACGCTCGGATTCCAGGGCCTGGCTGGCTGCGCGGCGCTGGCCTGAACCGTGGGCTTGCGGCTCCAGCGCGTCGAATGCTTGACAGGCGTCGTAGGCGCAGAGGGGGCTGCGGCGTCGACGACGCCGCTGGCCTCGGCACCGCCTGCCTCGACGCCGCCCACTGCCGCTGCGGCCGCGCCACCCTCGCCGCCACCTGCGCTGCCGCCCAGGTGCGCCGCGGCCTGGCTCCCCGCCTCCTGGCTCTCCGCCAACTGGCTCGGCGCCACCAATGGCGCGTCGTCGCTTGACGTGCCGCTGCCTGGCTCGCCGCTTGCCTCGGCGCTGCTTGGCTCGCTTGCCTCGGCGCCGCTTGGCTCGCCGCCTGGCCCGCCGCTTGGCTCGGCGCCGCTTGGCTCGCCGCCTGCGCCGCGTGGCTCGCCGCTTGACATGGCGCCGCCGCTTGCTGGGGCCTCCTGCTGGGCTTTCTCCATGGCCCCCCTCTGCGCAAGCAGCTGCCGCGCCTGCAGACTGGTGAGGCCAATCCTCACCCCCTGGTCGGCCTGGTCGATCTTCGTCGTCAACTGCAGCAGCTGCTCCTCGTCGAGGTCATCGATGCGCTGGACTGCCAACGATGCCCTTGTGGCCTGATCCATCTGCTCGCTGACCTGGCCTTCATCGGCCGACTCGGTGCTGCTGTCCTCCACGCGCTCCACATCCAGAACCTTCGAGCGGCTCAAAGCTGTTTTGGAACGATTTAGGAATCATGGAGGGCGATGGCGGCGGAGGAGGGAGGACGGGGGAGAGACGGGGAGGTAGGAGGGAAGGGGAAGCGAGATGGAGCTAGGGGGAACGGGGTGAATCTAAGGCTGGTGACTGGGTCATCATGGTTGCATGGGGCATTGGCGACTTCGCATACCCCCCAGAACGTGACCGCTCCCCTCGTCAACGGACCCGCTGCCAGCTGCTGTCATCGCACGGCCCAGGGGGGTGCGCCAGCAGTTTCTCGGGACCCCACTGCCACGAATGTAGCCCTTCATAAGGGTCTCGAGCCAGGGCATTTAAATACGTCGTCTTGCAATAGGGTAGTTTGAACAATGACCCGAAAAGGACCCATTACAGGTTCAATGCTGTTGAATGTTCCTTTCGGGCCCCTTGCTGAATGTTCCATTCGGGCCTCTGTCCTGAATGTTCCTTTCGGGCCTCTGTGCTGAATGTTCCTTTCGGTCCTCTGTTCTGGCTCGAGCGTATTACAACGTGTTGAATGTTCTTTTCGGGCCTCTGTGCTGATGTTCCATATTACAACGTGTTGGCATTGCGTCGGGAACGGTCGAATGTCGGTGCTTCGCCCCCTCCTGGGGCGCGTCCTTGCCAGAGTCTCGAGGCGAGTCTGGCCGCGGCAACGCAACGAGGCTCCCCCTCGACCTCGAAACGCCCTCGAAGCCTCGACGACGACGACGACGACGACGACGACGACGACGACGACCGAACGACGACGACGACGACGACCGAACGACGACGTCGACCGAACGACGACGACGATCGAACTTCGACGACGACGACGACGACGAAATCTTTTCCCCTTGCCCGAACGCTCGCCCAACCTCTCGCCGCCGCTGGCGGCTGTTCTCCACGGTCTCAGGCGCCGTTGTTCCTCGCCATCAGGCGGATGTTCGGCGTTCGCCCCAGCAATTGCCGCGGCTGCAATGCCGTGAACCAAGAACTTGCCCCCCGTAGCGGTTCTCGCGATGGAGGGGCAGGGGGAACAAGGATGAGGACTAAAGGGGAAGAGTATGGGGAAAGGATGAGGAGGGGGTTATCGGGTCAACGGTAGGTCAACGCACGTGCGTTGACCCCCCGTTGACCCGATGACCCCCGCCCTCCCCTATGTGGAACCGCTCTGATGGGTAAGTGGGTTAGCGGCGTTGCGGCCCCGACGCGGCTTGTTGGCCAAGTATCGGGCGTGCTGGAGGGCCTTCGTCCATGGAGTCGGCCGAATCCACGTTCACCGCGGGGCGGCCGTCCTGGGGACATCGGCGGAGGGGGGGTGGAGGAAGGCCGAAGGAAGAGGACAGAATGATTTCGATCCAAATCGTCGACCTATCTCGGATTACCCAGTGGACCGGGTTACGATCGGAGGATCTAGGGAGAATTGGTAATAAGGGGGAGGAGGAGGAGGATCGGAGGATCTAACATCGGAGGATCTAGGATCGGAGGATCTAAGATCGGACGACGTTCGGACGATCGGCGGATCTAGGATCGGAGGACCTAGGATCGGACGATCGGAGGATCTAGGATGAGACGATCGGAGGATCTAGGATCGGAGACCCCAGGATCGGACGATCGGACGATCGGAGGATCTAGGATCGGAGGATCGGACGACGTTTTGAAACAAGTGTCCTGGTCTGGCGCCATTGGTCCCGAAGATGTTGCCCTGCTCGGTGATGCGCTGGTTGCCATGGGTGTCGCCCCGCTCGCTGGTGCCGCTGGCCTTTCCTTGCTCGCTGGTGCCGCTGGCTCTGCCTCGCTCGCTGGTGCCGCTGCCTCTGCCTCGCTCGCTGGTGCCGCTGGCGCTTCCTCGTTCGCTGGTGCCGCCGCTGGAGGCCTCTTCATCTTTGGCGCTTCCTCATGTGCCGCCGCAGGCCTCTTCATCTTTGGCGATTCCTCATGTTTCTCCTCGCCCTCATCCTCCTCCGCCGCAGCGGCGGGCCTTTTCATTCTCAAGGCTTCGCCATCGCCCTCATCCTCATCCTCCGCCGCACTCGCTGGTTTCTTGAGCGCTGGCTTTTTGCGAACTTCCTCCTCTTCTTCCTCATCTTCTTCAGCTGTTTCCTCCTCGCCATCTTCCTCACCCTCTTCAGCGTCTTCTTCTTCTTCCTCCTCCTCCTCCTCGTCCTCCTCCTCGTTCTCATCCTCCTCTTCTTCTGCGTCATCCTCCTCCGCCTTCGCGCCCTCGTTCTTCTTCTCGTTGCCGTCGTCTTGGGACGTCGCGGCAGCAGGCTGTTTGGTATCCGACTTCGATGCTGATGCTGGCTTCTTACTGGCGGCAGTCTGCTTGGGCGCTGGTTTGACGTGCTCCTTTTTTTGTTCCTCTGCCTTTTCTTTCGGCATGCCATTGATCATCTCTGTCATCAGCTTCTTCATGCAGGCAATCGCCTAGGCGAGGAGAGGGAGGATGCGGAGCGAACGGCTGGGGGGCCACCGGGTCACCGGCTCCACGGCAGGTCAATGCACATGCGTTGACCGACCGTTGACCCGATGACCCCCCGTCCTATTCCTCTCCAATCCTCCCCCACCTCTCCCATGTGGCCTTCTCCTTCTCGTCTGCGGTGTGGCGCGTCACGACCAGCTGCAACGTCGGCTTCGCCGCGCCCTGGACCCTGAAGATGCGCAGGAAAGCGACGTCAGGAACATCTGGGCGACGCTCCTTAGCGTCGATCAGTCGCCACGTAGCTCCGTCCTTGGCCACCTCCCGCTTGATCTCGGTCACGCTTGAAGGGCGCCGATCCCCTGATCCGTTGTCCACCTGCAGGGCCCTCAACGTCTTATTTGTCAAGTTCGGGATCCTGCGCGTGAATCCGTCATGCCACTTCGCTAGGACCAACTCATCGTCGCCCTCGTCGTTGGGCTGCAGCGGCTCAGACTCCTCCCGCAAAGGCTTCTTGACGCCCTTCTGAGTCCGATAGCAAACCTGCTCGTCCCGTATGTACTTGACATCGTACTCCGTCTTGTCGGTCCCGTCCTGCATGAACGGGCTGAGCCACTCGGGAACGTTGTCGCCATCTCTGGCTTTCGTGATGGCCTGCTGGATGTCGCGGCGCATGGCTTGAGCTCGCCTGCCCATTTTCGTTGCCCATGCCTCTGCTTCGCGACCGAGCTGCCATTCTGAATTGCGGTTCTCCGCCACCTTCTGGAAAAGGATCTTCAGCTCCCCCTTGTTACCAGCGTCCTTGTTTGGGAGGTGGAGGATCAAGAAAAGGAAGACGAACACGAGGGTGACGACGACGACGGCCCAGTCCTTCACGGCAACGATGAGTTCGCGATGCTTCACCAGGGCGTCGATGTCCCGGCGGCCTGCGAGCTCATCGCGGTATGGCAAGAGCGCGCTCGTAAGTAATGTGCTGATGCGGTTTACAATATCCTCGTTCGGTGGGGTCGCCATCCTCGTGGCGCCGACAACGCGCCTGAGCCACAATTTCGAGGAGAGACGGGCCCGCGGTGACAGGACACCCCGAAGAAATCTAAGGCCCCCAGACACCCCAGGACGCCTAGGGCCTCTAGACACCTAAAATGCCTGAGGCCCTATAGACGCTTCAGACCCCTAGATGCCCAAGACGCCTGATGCTTCAAGACTCACCAAGACGCATGAGGCCCCAGACACCCCAAGACGCCTGAGACAACCAAGGCAGAACGGCACGGCACGACGCGGCACGGCAAAATCCCACCGCCCCGCAGATCGGGGACCTTGGGCGTGATCCGCGGGCCGTCATCGGGCCCCCAGGCGCGTGAGTCCGCCGACCCCCGCTTTAGGGCGCCCCGCGCTTGAGACCGCGGCGCGCCCTACAGCGCGGGCGCACGTTCCCAGGCGTACTCCGCGGACCTCACTGGGGTCCCAGGCGTGATATATATATATATATATATATATATATATATATATATATATATATATATATATATATATATATATACATATAACGGCGCACCGGGTCCGGGGGCCCGGGGCCGGGACCCCGACCGCAAATGTGCACCCCGGGGGGCCCGGAGGCTCGTCGGGGCTTGCCGGAGGCCTCCCCAGTCAGACAAGACGGCCCAAGAAGCGCCCAAGACGGCCCAAGAAACTTCCAAGAGGCCTCCAAGAGGGCTCCGAGATGCTGAAGATGGCCTCCAGACGTCCAAGGACGCCCCCAAGAGGCCCCAAGAAGCCTTCCAACATGCGTCCCAAGAGGGCCCCTAGACGCAAAAATTGGCCCATTCCCTTCGTAAAACGTACATTTTCAACAAAGTTGTCTTTTGGGCTTTCCGACGTTACAGGACGGCCCAAGAGGCGCCCAAGACCGCCCCAAGACGGCCCAAGAAGCTTCCAAGAGGGCCCCAGGACAGCCCAAGAGGGCCCCAAGACGGCCCAAGAGGCGCCCAAGATGGCCCAAGAGGGCCCCAAGACGGGCCCAAGAGGGGGCCCAGAGGGGGACCACGAACCGCAAGCTCGAGCCTTCCGCCCCAAGAGGCCGCCAGGAGGCCCCCAGGAGGCCCCTCAAGAGGCCCCAGGAGACCCCAGACGTCCAAGGACGCCCCCAAGAGGCCCCAAGAAGCCTCCAACATGCGTCCCAAGAGGGCCCCTAGACGCAAGAATTGGCCCATTCCCTTCGTAAAACGTACATTTTCAACAAAGTCGCCTTTTGGGTTTTCCGACGTTACAGGACGGCCCAAGAGGCGCCCAAGACCGCCCCAAGACGGCCCAAGAAGCTTCCAGAGGGCCCCAGGACAGCCCAAGAGGGCCCCAAGACGGCCCAAGAGGCGCCCAAGATGGCCCAAGAGGGCCCCAAGACGGGCCCAAGAGGGGGCCCAGAGGGGGACCACGAACCGCAAGCTCGAGCCTTCCGCCCCAAGAGGCCGCCAGGAGGCCCCCAGGAGGCCCCTCAAGAGGCCCCAGGAGACCCCAGACGTCCAAGGACGCCCCCAAGAGGCCCCAAGAAGCCTCCAACATGCGTCCCAAGAGGGCCCCTAGACGCAAGAATTGGCACATTCCCTTCGTAAAACGTACATTTTCAACAAAGTCGCCTTTTGGGTTTTCCGACGTTACAGGACGGCCCAAGAGGCGCCCAAGACCGCCCCAAGACGGCCCAAGAAGCTTCCCAGAGGGCCCCAGGACAGCCCAAGAGGGCCCCAAGACGGCCCAAGAGGCGCCCAAGATGGCCCAAGAGGGCCCCAAGACGGGCCCAAGAGGGGGCCCAGAGGGGGACCACGAACCGCAAGCTCGAGCCTTCCGCCCCAAGAGGCCGCCAGGAGGCCATCAGGAGGCCCCTCAAGAGGCCCCAGGAGACCCCAGACGTCCAAGGACGCCCCCAAGACGCTTCGCGTCACCAATTTCTTCTCGCAACGATTCCTGGGTCTGTGACTCGACAGAACCTAAGCGCGCGCGAAGCGCGCGCGTGGTTCTAGTATATATATATATATGCATGCAACATAATTTACGGTCATACATACACATTATATATATGTATGTATACATATGTGTATATGTATATACACGCATGTGTATATGCATATTTGTGTACATATACATATATAGACATATGCATATAAATATGTGTACATGTATGCATACACATGTATATGTATGTACATATGCATTTGCACATATGTATATGTAGATGTATATCTATATGGTTATGTATAAATGTATATGCATATATGTTTAATTGTACATACAAATGTATATGTAGTGGCCATGCAACATATAATCGTGCACATGCTGTACACGCGTCGTTGGATAAAAAACATGGTTTGGACAAAAACATGGTCTGGATCAAAAAAAATGGTCTGGATCAAAACTGTGCCGTGTGACCGCGTTGGATCAAAAACAAAACCTTGGATCAAAGTTGCAGTGTCGAAGAGTGTCGGATCAAAAAACGCGATCCGAGTAACCCCAGGGCAGAACTCCATTCCCGGGCCACATTTTGAATGCCCGGAGCCAACTGTAGGCCACTTCGTGGTCTTCGAGTTCCCAGGACTTCATTCCCGGGCTACATTTTGAATGCCGAGGCAGGCTGATGCTGAGCCTGAGGCAGGCTGAGGGTGAGGCAGGCTGAGGCTGAGGCCGAGGCTGAAGGCAGACTGAGGGTGAGGCTGAAGCAGGCTGAAGCTGAGGCTGAGGCAGGCTGAGGCTGAGGCTGAGGCAGGCTGATGCTGAGGCAGGCTGAGGCTGAGGCTGAGGCTGATGCAGGCTGAGGCTGAGGCAGCCTGAGGCTGAGGCCGAGGCCGAAGGCAGACTGAGGCTGAGGCTGAAGCAGGCTGAGGCTGAGGCTGAGGCAGGCTGAGGCTGAGGCTGAGGCTGAGGCTGACGCAGGCTGAGGCTGAGGCTGTGACTGCGACTGCCGTTGCCACTGCGACTGTCATCGCGAATGCGACTACGACTGCGAGAACAGCAGAACTTTACAACTGGATTCTCATCTGAATCTTCAGGGGAATGCTTTCAGATATGCTCCTACACATCGCTGTTAGGTTGCTTTGACGGGATAGTTAGTATGAAGCTCGGAGGCGGGATTTGCAGTTAGAGCTCATTTTGGGTGCTAGTGGTGGTCCCTGGAAGATAACCCGAGCGACAGGCCATTGCCAGAGCCCAGATTCATACGAATCGACGGGAAATTATCAAATGCGTCTTCCTGTAGACATCAGCGGGTCTGAGATCGGCCTGAAGCACGAGAAATGTTCGAAAACCTCTGATCATTAGGGTGCAACTTTGGGTGCTTGCGACGGTTTTTCGAAGATAACTCGAGCCACGGGCCATTGCCAGAGCCCTGATGCATTCGAATCAACAGGACATGATCCAGTGCATCTCTCTGAAGGCACCAGAGGGCTGAGATCAGCCTGGCAAGGGAGAAATCTCTGAAACGCTGTAATAATTAGAATGCAACTTTCGCTGGGCAGTCGCAAGAGGAAGCTCTACGAGTTCCCGGCGGTAACCAAGGTTGACGATTTACCGCCGGCGCCCAGTTTGGTCTGTTGAAAATTATGTTCTCGAAATTTGTCCATTCGTTTGAGTCCTAGTATTTTCTCCCGCCATCTTCGATCTTATTCCCACTCGCCATCTCAATCTCAGCTCGATCGGGTGGATATTAATTTGAATTTCGGCTGAGGCGGGGTCGGCTGCATTCGAATCGACAGGAAATGATCCAATGCATCTCCCTGTAGGCAGCAGAGGGCTGAGATCGGCCTGCGGAGGTGATTGCTATAGGCCTTGCCTCCCTCTCCTTCTCCTCGTTCTCAAGCTTCTTGTTGGTTCAAGGGCTGTTTTTTTTCAGTTGCTTCTTCCGACCTCGGATTTTCCGGGTGGCAGCTGTCTCTCCATCGGTGTCTTTCGCCTGAACCAGAACATCTGGAGACCAGCTTATCATGTCCGACTTGTCTGCTGTCTTGCCGCGAATGCATGCGTGGCTTTCCGCGAATGCGCCTACCGTGCCGTTTGGTCTGTTCACCACGCGGTTTCCGAACTTCAGGAAGAAGCAACTGCAATCGCATTTCTCCTTCGTGGATCGCGCTGGAATCTTCTAAATTTCCTCGGAGGGCACCGCGGGCAATGATGCTGGCGGCGCGGCCGTGCTGACGAGTTTGTCAGGGTCAGAAACTGCGGTGCAACGGGAGTTGCAAACATGGGGCAAACGGTTTTCAGTGGGTGGGTTGGTGCACGTCGACCTTGACGGGGAAGTGCGGGTTGTCCATGCACCTCTTCGTGCTGGCCGACGAGGTGCTCGTCCCAGACATCCCTTTGTGCGCCATCCGGCAGTTGCCCGAGCAGTTGGCCGCAGACGCGTTGGCAGGCTCATGGGAAGGATGTTCGGTTTGGCGGAAGTTTCCGCTATGGAGACTTTGTCGAAGTTCGTTGGCCCGAGCACGGAATCTACGTGCCAGTCAGGGCGCCGGAAACCAGGACACTGACTAACCAGGGCGCAGACGCGTTCTCTGCGCTGCAGGAATCGTTACCTAACAGCGTTTGCTGATAGGTTTCTAGTGGTGTTAAAAGAGAGCATCATGACTCCTCAGGGGGGTCTGGGCGGGTGCCGGGGAGGAGAACCGGGATCGTTTTTCGCCAACAGTCGCACACTTCGTGCTCTTCGACCTCCCAGAACTCCATTCCCGGGACACATTCTGGAGAACCGGGAACAGAGCCGGGTCGCTTTTCGCCAACAGTCACACACTTCGTGCTCTTCGACCTCCCAGAACTCCATTCCCGGGCCACTTTCTGGAGAACCGGGAACAGAGCCGGGCTCGTTTTTCGTCAACAGTCACACACTTCGTGCTCTTCGACCTCCCAGAACTCCATTCCCGGGCTACATTTTGAGTGGCCGGAGCCAACTGTAGGCCACTTCGTGCTCTTCGAATCGCCAGAATCTCATTCCAGGGCCACATTTTCAATGCCCGGGGCCAACTGTAGGCCACTTCGTGTTCAAAGGCCGCTGCTGTTAGGTTGCTTTGCCGGGATAATTTCGTTTTTGTTTCGTTATTACTTAACAGCGAAGACTGATAGGTTTGTAATGGGGTCAAAAGAGAGCATCTGATGACTCCCCAGGGGGGTCTGGGCGGGAGCCGGACAGGCGAGAACCGGGCTCGTTTTAAGCAAACAGTCACATACTTCGTGCTCTTCGACCTCCCAGAACCCCATTCCCGGGCCACATTTTGCATGCCCGGAGCCAACTGTAGGCCACTTCGTGCTCTTCGACTTCGCAGAATTCCACTCCGGGACCACATTTTGGATGCCCGGAGCCATCTGTAGGTCACTTCGTGCTCTTCGATTTCCCAAAACCCCACTCCCGGGCCACATTTTGGATGCCCGGAGCCAACTGTAGGCCACTTCGTGGTCTTCGAGTTCCCAGAACACCATTCCCGGGCTACATTTTGGATGCCCGGAGCCAACTGTAGGCCATTTCGTGGTCTTCGAGTTCCCAGAACTCCATTCCCGGGCCACTTTTTGAATGCCCGGAGCCAACTGTAGGCCACTTTGGTTTTCGAGTTCCCAGAGCTCCATTCCTGGGCCACATTTTGAATGCTCCCAGATATGCTTCCAGATATGCTCCTACACATCGCTGTTAGGTTGCTTTGCCGGGATATTTTTTGTTTCGTTATTGGAGGGGAGATTTTTTTCTGATGCTGACCTCCAGGTTTCTGCTTGGGATATTGCGTCGACTGGTTTCTTGGCGAAGCCGTTTCGAAAAGTTGGTTTCTAGCGTTGCTGCGTGTCCTGGTTTAGCGTGTCTGGGTCTACGGGGCCCTGGGGCAGCGAAGTTCAGCCGCTATTGTTGCGGATGCAAGAAAGCGTTCGTGATGGTCAAATTCTCCGATGGCGGCCAGGATTCCAAAGTCGCAGTGGCAGATGTCCGAGCACGTGGCGTCCCTTTCGTGGGCGAGGTGTTCGAGGAGAGCCCAGGGGCGCCGCGACGTGGGCCGCAGACTCGTTCTCTGTTTTCGCGCAAGGACGAGCAGCCTGAGGCGGTGGAAGACCCAGGATCAACTCGGTTTCTGGGCGTGGTGGTGAGCGTGAACGAAGAGAAGGGAGTTTGCACGATCGCTTCCCGTTTCGGATCCATTTTCTGCCCCCGAATCGCAGTCATTGCTGACGGCGCTTTGAGGGTTGGGCGGGAGGCGAAGTTTGAGATTTCTTGGGGTCGCCAGCTTCGCTTGCAGGCCAACGACGTTGTTCTGGGGCCCCTGAAGAAAATCGAGTCGGTGCAGTGGCGGGCTCAGCGCGCCAGGGGCGCGGGCGCAATCTTGCGCGCCAGGGCGGAAGTCCCCGAGAATAAGGAGATTGATAAGAAGAACGCTGCCACGCTTGAGCGCATGAAGGCGGCCCATGTGGCCAAGCGCGCGTGCAGATGGGTAGGCCTACAACTATCTCCGCCTCGCTGGGCAGCATTTGTCCTTCCGCTCTCTTTCTCTCTCCGCCGCTTCGGTGGGGCCTTCGCAATCGAGGGGCGTTTGATTCAGGGCGCGCCCCTTGCAGTCGATCGTAACGCATGCGCGGCGCATTCTGCGGCGTGCTTCGTTTGGCGGGGAGGTCCACTCGAGCGGGCCACGTGAGTTTCCTCCTTGGGATCAGTTTCGAATCGTCCTAGGAGATTTTGATTAACTTTGGAAAAACTTGCTTTTCCGCGCTTCCCAAGGCATTCCTTTACTATGGAAAGATATTTTCGATTTCGGAGGGGCCAAGTTGCGGTTTTGACGCAGGATTCAGTTAGACGCCATCACGATGCGGCCCGGCAGTGCCAGAACCTTCCGTGCTGGCGCCCGAATGCATTTGACTTCGCAGAGCCCTCGGGCGGGCGTTCTGGGGCTGTCGAAATGAATTGGCCGACGTTCGTAGTTGCCTTCTCGCGCCAGGGATCCATCGACGCGCTCCCGTCGGTCGTTCGTGCAATCCGACGGCTTTGGTTCGCGCGGTTGTCCAGGCCCTGGCGGGCCCCCCCAAGGCTGCGCATCAAAAGGCGTTGTTGCCGAGGGTCACCCGTTCGTGTTGCCGATCCAGGTTGTTGCGGCTGCCACTAAGGTTGCGCACGAAAGGGCCTTCTTGCCACAGGCCACGAAAGAGGGAGATGTCATTTTGGTGTGCGGCTTTCAATGACGTGTTTTTTCTTTTGTGGGTGTTTTCCAGCGATTTCTAATGTGAGCCTCCGTCCTCTTCACATCCTCCTCCTGCCTTTCCTCCTGCGTTTCTTTGTCTTGTGCCAGGTTGCCGGAGTCGCGCTCGGCGCTGGTGTCCGGTGCCTGTCATGTTTCTTTGCTCTGAATTCAATTGCTTCGCCCATTCCGCCGGCCGTGGGATGTTATTTTGGTGATGGTACAAGCTTCTTCAGGATCTCTTGGGGGGTTCTTGGGGCTCCTCGGCGGCTTCTTGGGCTCTGATGGGTCTCTTGCGGAGATATTGGGGGCTTCTTGAGGTTCTTTTTGGGCGGGAGAAAGGGTTGTCGATTATAGCGCCCACTGTGGAAGCAACGATCCGTCTGAGTGGTTGCGGACATTGCTTTCTTTCATGGGATGGCCTGGGATTTGACCCGGACCTATGCGGGATCTCGCGAATATACTATTCGTTCGGAGGCTCCCAAGGGCCGCCCTACGCGCATGAATTTAGACATGTTGTGAAATCGTTACGGACATCTTACACGTTTCTTGGGTGTGAGCTGGCGAATTTCTTTGCCGCCTCGCCAGTTGGGCAAGCGAGTGTCCGCACCTCCTCATAAGAAGTATGGGGGTGTAGAGGAGGAGGAGGATGATGATGAGGAGGAGGATTTCAAACTATAGAAACGTACGTAAGACATTACAGATTCGTGCCCCAGTAAAGGGCCCAATGGATAGGAGCATACGTAAAAAAACATTTGATTGGAGCCATTCCTGTGCGTAAGCTTGAGTGTGAGCGAGTTTGGGTATGAGTGTGATGAGCACGAGTCTGGGTCTAAGCGAGCCTGAGCACAAGTGAGTTTGAGGATAAGTGAATATGAGACATTCTCGCCCTCTGCGCCCTTTGGGGTGTAGAAACCGACGCCTCACCCGAGACATCCCCATACTTTACTCAGAACCCAGACGAATGTGGCCACCAAGGAATAAGCAAACTGCTCGAGACATCCTCAACATCTGCCCCCGTCCCCGCGGGGTGCGAAAACCCGCGCTTCGCTGGAGACATCCTGAACATCTGCTCCGAAAGCGGATGCTGTCGGGTGGTGAAACATGAGAACCGTTTGAGACATCCCACCATTTTGTCGCGAGGGAGGAGTGCATTACCCCCTGGCGTCTCCCCCGTGGGGATGCTGAAATCTGCGCTTCGCGCGAGACATCCTCAGAATCTGCTCCGCCATCATCCCCATCATCATCATCATCATCATCATCATCATCATCATCATCATCATCATCATCATCATCATCATCATCATCATCATTCTCATCATCATCTGCTTCTGCAGCACCATCGTAAGATAACATCACATCGTAACCATAACAACACACACATAGTATTTCATCACGTACGATACGATAACACAACATATTACTGGAGTAGTGGCAAGAGCCCCATCTTTTGGAGATGGGAAATAAAAACAGAGAAGCGACAGAGCAACGAGAGAGTATCCCCCCCGTCATTCCCTCTCCTTCATTCGGACGGGGCCAGGACGAGGATAAGTCCGCTCCAGGGCGTTCTAGAACGCTCCCAGAGCGTTCTGGAACGCTCTGAGAAGGTTGCGGCGACGGAGACATCCTCCAGAGCCGCCTGAACTAAGAGATTCTCGATTCAGCCTCCCCCAGCCCCAGTTTTATCATCGTCATTGCTTCGTCTCATTCACCTTGATTTGCCCTCAGGGTCTGAGGCACGCTTAAGGCCCGTCTTTCTGCCACCACCTGCTGCCCAGACAGCGAAAGCCCCTCACACAAACGCGGGCTTCCTGGCATCGCTCGGGCGTGTGTACTGTGGCACGGCGAGGACCATCGGGGAGCCTCCTGGATCATCGAGCAACAGAAACTCGCACGAGACCGAACAATGCCTGTGGACTGGACGTCTGAGCGATGGCGAAGCTTGCGCCCGGCGCTCGCGCGCCTCTAGTCGTCGAGGTCCGAAGGTTCGGTCCATCGCCCGCCTCTCCGGGCAGAGGAAAGAGCCACAACCAATGGGGACGGAATGAATGGATGCGAAGATCAAGGGAGGACAAAACTGTGACCACGATCTGCTGAGTTCACTAAGCGGCCCTGGACGTTTGCTAAGCAGCCCTGCCCTTTTTCGATTCCTTCTTGAGTTGCTTTTTCTGAATTGCTTCGCTTGTCGTGGACAAGGTTTTCTGCTCTCTAGCTGTAAGACTAACAGCAAATCTTGCCAATGTTGAGCAGGAGTTGCTGTCGGCGTCGCTGCGGACGTTTTTCGTTTGAGACAGAAGGTCGCCTGCCCAAGAGGGCGACCGCTGTTGTTTTTGGACAACATGATTTTTGGTGCATCGTGCCGATTTTTGTCGTACCCATCCCAGGCGTCCAGAACTAATTGAATTTTTCGGGAGGGTGCCTCGGGGGAGAACCCACTGATCTCGACAGCAGCACTTCGGTTAGTTGTTGTCGTGGTCTTTTGGCCGTCCTGAGACGCCAGGTCGATCGCAACCAGCACGAGGCTGGTTTTCGTGTTCCGACAATTTGTGTTATGCTTAAGACGCCCCCCAGGGTGTGGCATTTTTCTCTGGCTCACCTTGTGGAACGGATTGAGCGCACGAAGCCGAAACACGCGCGGTGAATGGACGTCCGAGCAATGGCAAGGCCTTGGGCAGTGGTAGCGGCAGGCTGGGCCACAGATACAGGTTAGGGCATGGCCCGGCATCGATTCTCAATTCGGTGGCGAGCCCTGGGGGGGAGTGAGAAGAGGCAGGCCTTCCCAGAAGGCCCGGAAGTCCCCCGGCCTGCTGAGAAGTCTGCTAAGCTTTCCCCGAAGACAGAAAGAAGGGCACTTCTCAGACGGCCGGAGGGCTTCCGAGAAGTCCCGCCGCCTTCTGCGAGGACCCCCTCCCCCCCCCCTCACTCGCAGCCGATCCATGGTACAGACCCTCTGTGGGCAGACCGCCCGTCTTTTTCAGCAGCGGACGAGGCTTCCCCTCGTCCCGCCCTCTTCTGTGGGCACGGCAGTCGCAGTCACAGCCTCAGCCTCAGCCTGCGTCAGCCTCAGCCTGCCTCAGCCTCAGCCTCAGCCTGCCTCAGCCTCAGCCTCAGCCTGCTTCAGCCTCAGCCTCAGTCTGCCTTCAGCCTCGGCCTCAGCCTCAGCCTGCCTCAGCCTCAGCCTGCAGCCTCAGCCTCAGCCTCAGCCTGCCTCAGCCTGCAGCCTCAGCCTGCCTCAGCCTCAGCCAGCCTCAGCCTCAGTGCCTCAGCCTCAGCCTCAGGCCTCAGCCTCAGCCTTCAGTGGCCCGGGAATGGAGTTCTGGGAACTCGAAGACCACGAAGTGGCCTACAGTTGGCTCCGGGCATTCAAAATGTGGCCCGGGAATGGAGTTCTGGGAACTCGAAGACACGAAGTGGCCTACAGTTGGCTCCGGGCATTCAAAATGTGGCCCGGGAATGGAGTTCTGGGAACTCGAAGACACGAAGTGGCCTACAGTTGGCTCCGGGCATCCAAAATGTGGCCCGGGAATGGAGTTCTGGGAAGTCGAAGAGCACGAAGTGGCCTACAGTTGGCTCCGGGCATCCAAAATGTGGCCCGGGAATGGAGTTCTGGGAAGTCGAAGAGCACGAAGTGGCCTACAGTTGGCTCCGGGCATCCAAAATGTGGCCCGGGAATGGAGTTCTGGGAAGTCGAAGAGCACGAAGTGGCCTACAGTTGGCTCCGGGCATTCAAAATGTGGCCCGGGAATGGAGTTCTGGGAGGTCGAAGAGCACGAAGTGTGTGACTGTTTGCTTAAAACGAGCCCGGTT